TTTAATACAATCCTGCAGATTATTTTCTTATCCTACCAAAAAAAAACCTAAAAGTAGAGAAATTCAACGGAAACATTTCCAGGTGCAACAGCATATTTGCAGAAGGCAATCCTGTGCCTGCACACGTGCCTCAGTGTGTGTGTGTGCGCGCGCGAGTGTGTGTGTGTGTGTGTGAGTTTGTGTCTTCAGTGTGGGAATTCGTTGAGTAATAAAACAACCTTTTATAAAACTTTTTAAAAAATTGATAGGCGAGCATGATTCTTGAAATTTGTTTTTCCATGAGCATAACTTTAACATAATTTCAACATAAAGCCATGTCAACGACATTTATTTTTTTCAAGACGGACGGGACATGTCTTTTTCGAGAAGGCGGTGTTTTATGATAATGCTTTTATTTTTATTTTTCGTCGTAATGACCATTTCAAAAAAACCAAATAAATAAATTTTTAAAAAGTACCGGCCATCATTAAAAACGATCTCAATCTTTTTTAATTATCCGAACGGAAACATGGCCACTTCAACAACAGCGATAACAATGCCCTTTGGATTGTTGGCATACACAATTCGAATTTAAAAGAGAGCCGTACTCTGAGGAGATGGTATCTCTTACCTGACGAGACTGTGAATAGCAGATGTACATAATATAATAATATAGAGACGGGGCGAGATTATTTACATTCCCCGTCTCCCATTCTTTTTGATAAATGAATTCAAAGAGGCCTCGCCATAATGGAAATTATTGTCATGGATATATATCTCCATATTGATATAGCCATCATAGGAGTTTAATAAATATAATCTTTTATCTGAGTTGTTTGAGGTTCGGTGGCTTGTCTTTTTAATTTAGCCAACAATGCCGTTTAAACTTCAACCACTGACAATTACTCTTCTTTCCTCATCCCTTTCCCCTCAGAAAAAAATATATTAAATAAAACAGCATTCGCTAATATTTACTCTGAATAAATAACTACTACTGCTAACGATTGTAATAAAAATACGCAACGAAAATCCAAAAATATTCTCTACGGAAAAAGAACGCGTCGAAGAAAAAGCGTAAAATGTATTGCTGAGAAGACAAACAGCAGAAAAAAGCAGGTCGTCTGTAAAGAACCAAAAATGAACGTACTCTCTCTCAAGTAAGTCGTTGGATGTAATAGTAGTCAAAGTTGACCAATCACTGCGACTATAAATAAAATATTAATACATATCAATCAACGTATAGATTGATAGATAGATAGCTAGATAAATAGACAGATTGATAGAAAGAGATAGATAGATAGATAGAGAGAGAGAGAGGAGAGAGAGAGAGAGAGAGAGAGAGAGAGAGAGAGAGAGANCTATCTATGTCGCTATTTCTCTTTTCTCTATCCCATCTCTCACTCCTTCTCTCTCCATCTCTCTCTCCCATCTTTCTTTCCTTTCTCCCATCTCTCTCTCTCTATCTCTCTATCTATATATCTCTCTTCCCTCTCTTCCTCTATATATATCTCTCTCTTTTCTCTCTCCCATCTCTCTTTCCGCTCTCCCATCTCTCTTTTCTCTTTCCCAACTCTCTATCTATCTATCTCTCTATCTCTTTTCCCTCTCTCCTATTTCTCTCTATATATCTATCTCTCTTTTCTCTCTCCCATCTCTCGTTCCTCTTTCCCATCTCTCTCTATCTATCTCTCTATCTCTCTCTCTCTTTCTTCTCTCTCGATCTTTCTTTCCATTTCTCTTTTAATAGAAGTAAAATCAGTAAAATCTGCCTGTCCGGATTGTTTATTCTTGTTATGAATAGTATATATAAATGTTTTAATGAATGCAAATTTACATATATTATACGTCGATGATCTTCAAATATACATTGCTTGTAACATAGATGAGATTAATGAAACAATTGATAACATGAATAACGAAAGTCATGAAAAAATGCTATAAGGAACACAGATTAAACCAAAATAAAAATAAAACTAAGGCAACAATTATTGGTATTTTAAAAGATAAATCTCAAAAATTATAGTCAACAATGAGCCAGTTCTAGGTGACGGAAGTCAAAGGTATGTATCACCATCGACGAGACGATTAATTGGAAAAAGCAAACGACAAATGTATGTCGAAGTGTTTATCGCAGTATGAACACTTACAATAAAATCTGACATCAATGTTAAAAAAACAAATTATACAGTAATTCTATCATTGTTATGCTTACTGACTTGTATTGACATGAATAGCGAAAATATCAATACGCTAAAAAAATGTATGTATTCGCTACATCTTCTATTAAATTTTATTTTAATTGGTTGAAAACTGAAAACAACTTTGTCAGCTTTGATGTGCGACTGCCACCTTAACTTTCACGGAATATGAGGCCGAGGAACCGCACCCTCTCCACGTACCATACCGGAACGCCACCCAGGCAGAGTTGAGGTTTTGCTATGAGCTAAGAAATATTGTCACTCAGTCTGCAGAAGTGGACGCACATGGTCTTAGACTAGGAGAAGGTAAAACCGGTTTCCTCGACGCTAGGGGTCAAATTTGCCAGAAAGGTAAAAACAAGTCTTCGATTTTCACGATCCGCGGGGTGATGGAGTCAGCGATTACCTTCACCGCTACCAAAAATAACACTCATCACCGATCCCTGGGGGATACCATTCTCCTGAACGTAATCACCTGCGCTGAACCCACCTTGACTCGGTTAAATATTATAAAGCCAGATTTATTTGACAATTTAGATGACAGTGAACAGTTCCCTTCATATATAGCACTAAACTTTGAATTGGGCGACATCGAATACTTGGGTAAAAGTTGAGAGCTTGACTCCATCGTTGGATTGTTAAAGTTAGGGCTAGCGTGTTGTAATTGAACAACATTTAATAATCCTGAGATAGTAAAGTGTACCTTATGTCATCTACACGAAGCTGAAGACTTCTACCACTTTTTATCAATCTGTTCTATGTTAAGCTTGGAATTAATTACCTATCGACCACAAGAGATGTACATATTTTTGGACCAGTGTACGGCGTTTATTTAAAAAAATTGAAATTATTTTGTCGTATTTTTCGTAAGAACATAAACAACCCCATCCCCCCGGGGTGTAAGGCGACCCCGTCGGAGGATAATCCAAGCTATCTACAACACTGGCTTCAAGGGAGAACAAACAGAGTGTGAAATTAAGGAAAAGCCAGGAGTCGGGTTCACAAAAGGAAATTGCATTCGCAACTTCTTTCCTATTTATCGGTTAACTTGACGTAATGGAATAAGGTTCCGTTTTCAAGCTCAAGCCCTCTTTGGTCGAAGACGATTGATAATATAAGAAAATCTGCCTAACAGGAAATTAAATATCCTTTTGTAGACCGAGTTCCCCTTGGAAGGTTTATTGTTGAAGTTGGCGGGATAAATCACTATTTTGACGAATACGAACACCAAAGTTGAACTCAATCTCAACTAGAAATATCAAACGCTTTTCCCGCTAGTTTCCTTCGCGTTATCCCCTTGAGGAAAGTTTTCCGCGTATTTTCCACTCCTGAGATATTTCGCTCGTCGTCAAGTTTTCATCAACTTTTATCATTAAAGAAGAAAAAAAAATTTTTTTTTAAGTATTTGGATTCATATGAGTTCAAATCTGCACATGTAAGTACATATAAACACCCAAGTAGTTGAGCCGATCACATCTCGCACACCGGCAATTTCAGGGTTTTTTTAAATTTATAATAAATTACCGGCAGTTCTTAATCACCCACCCCGGGTGATGACAGTTCGGGGTCAGACCTGGGTCTGTCCGACGACAGAGGTTGGTCTCCGGGGGATGCTATCAACAGTCAATTCAGCATCCAACGCATGCAGTGCCTAGATCCAAACCCATTCATGCTCTCAATCACATTTAAATATATTCTTTCTTATTTACATACCATTCACTCAGGGTGATTTAATTAATATTCCTAGGGGGTGTCGGTGGCCGCAACGGTTTAGGCGTCGACACGGCGCTCACCACTGTAAGGTAAAGGACCCGGGTTCGAATACAGCGGCCCTGTATTNAAGAGTAGATTTCTTCTTTTGGTATTTCTTCTTAGCAGGGCAGACTAGCGACTGAAGGCTGACCTAATAAGTGACCCAAAGTTGGTTTAGCATTGCAAAAAGATTTATAATTTTTATGTGCAGTGTGGTTGAGATGAAAAATTAGTGCCACGAGCGGGACCCGAACCGACGACCTTCGGCTGCTCTAACCGACCAACTTAAAAAACTTCAAAGCTCAATTTCTCTCAAAACTATCAAAAGAGTAGATTTCTTCTTTTGGTATTTCTTCTTAGCAGGGCAGACTAGCGACTGAAGGCTGACCTAATAAGTGACCCAAAGTTGGTTTAGCATTGCAAAAAGATTTATAATTTTTATGTGCAGTGTGGTTGAGATGAAAAATTAGTGCCACGAGCGGGACCCGAACCGACGACCTTCGGCTGCTCTAACCGACCAACTTAAAAAACTTCAAAGCTCAATTTCTCTCAAAACTATCAAAAGAGTAGATTTCTTCTTTTGGTATTTCTTCTTAGCAGGGCAGACTAGCGACTGAAGGCTGACCTAATAAGTGACCCAAAGTTGGTTTATCATTGCAAAAAGATTTATAATTTTCATATGCAGTGTGGTTGAGATGAAAAATTAGTGCTACGAGCGAGACCCGAACCGACGACTATCGGCTGCCACCACCTTTCAGCCATTGTGACTGTCTCCCGAGACACCACGTCATCATCTCGACCACATTTTACATAAAAATTACAAATCATTACTTTGGTTAAATAGGACCAACTAAAAAACATCAGGATTGTAGAAGATGTTAATTATTAAACAGTGTCGGTCTTTTGAAATACGGGCAAAATCATTATGCTATTGAAACGGGGGTAAAGATGTTATGGTAGTGGTATCGGTTTTTGTCGGCCGGTTTTTGAAATGGGGTGGTCGGTGATAAAGGGTGAAATCGGGGAGGGTTTCCGAAATTCGAGAGGGGGTCGTTTCGCGGGGTGGAGTTGAGAGGGCGTTCCCGGCCAATCCAGGGTGAGGAAGGCGGTCCTTAATACCGTTAGTGTTTAGTAGTAGGAGTGAAGAGTAAATACTTTTACAGTCAGTTCAGTCAGGATGAGTCTACCTTCAGGAGTAGATATGTCAGCGTTGATGTCTCAGCATGCCGTGTTTCCGCCGGCGTTCTTCCTCAGGGCGAGCGAGCGGTACCAGAGGACGCCGAAATGCGCCAGATGCCGGAACCACGGTGTAGTTTCCGCATTAAAGGGCCACAAACGGTATTGCCGCTGGCGTGATTGTGTCTGCGCAAAATGTACGTTGATCGCGGAAAGGCAGCGAGTGATGGCCGCCCAGGTGGCACTGAGGCGGCAGCAGGCGCAAGAAGAGAGCGAAGCGAGGGAGCTCGGCCTCGTCTACACTACAGAACAGACTGCGGCGCAGCAACAGCAACAGCAACCCGCGCTACTCGCCCTTCCGCCGATACCGCCGGCACCAAGCAGTCCCACTAGTCCCGGTGAGTGAACCTCCTTCTCATGCTTTTTTTTCAACCCTGTGTTGTTAGGTGTATCTTGAAACGCGTTATATTTTATTAACCATGCATTTCTTTTTTCATTTATTTCCCGCGCAAAAAAACGCATAGTCTATGTTAACTTACCTTACAAAACTACTATAGCTAACATAACTTTGTTTATCTTTTATTTTTACTTTTACACAAAGGAATGATGTGCCATAAAACCATTTGTTAAACGGTTGAACTGCTTGAAAATTTAGAATAGGTCATACCCGTGTGACGATGACCGAATCTATTTCATTCACATCTTGGGACAAATGTATAAAAAGATTCCTTTATCAATTTAATATATTTAGAGTTTCGTTTTCTTATCTGTTGTCTAGACTCTTGATGTAAAGCAGGTGGATTATTTATATATTCCATCCAAGTTGTAAATAGTATTTTTTAATTTGTACTGATGATGAGGGGTGGATGGTTTGTTTGAGGTACTTTTAGACTGGGTTGAAATCGCACCAGCTCAGGAGTGTCTTCTACGCTTAGTTGGGGAAAAAGATCAAGTACAGGTATTTAGCCTTAAAAAAAAAAAAAAATTATAAAATACTGTATACACAAATGGCACAGTATTAAAAAAAAATTTATTCCGCCTTTGTTGTTAAGAAAAAAAGAAAAACGGCTACTGCTTGATTCAAGTTTAACTTTGTCAAGCCGTTTATGGATTATTGTTATTTTTGTACGATTTTAATATGGAGGAAGATCAAAACTAAAACTAATTAAATAAAAACAACTATTGGGTTCTCCAGCAGTCCATGGATTATTGCCCGCCGATGTTGACAGATCGAACTATCTCGGTTCGCCCGTCCTCGCTTTTTTCCACGTCCTCTTATACGATGAAGTTACACCGACTAATTGATCATTTATTACATACTTATTAAAAGTAACACTAAATTTAAAAAAGTACATGGGTTATTGTATGGAAGTTTTCCTGCGTACAGCCATGCATAACTAGGATAAAATTTTCTTTTCTTCGTTGTTTTTCTTTTTTTTATGGGCAAAAAATTTCTTTTTTTGGAGGCATTTTTTTTAATTGAAGGTCTTTTTTAAATAAAATTGCGATATTCCTCCGTTTCGGTGATCCTGGGTCAAATCAAAGTTATTTTAAGTGTTGATGTATCGATCACTATCTACTCAGGAATACTCTCGATCACGGTAGACTTGTTGAAAAAACAAATTCAGTTGTTACTGCAAGGTTTCGACCTATTTTAAGGTCATCATCAGGGAAAAGCAATCTTAAATATGAGTTCGCCAACTCGCAGACCAAACCCCATCATCTACTATAATCTTAGATATGCCTACAGACTTCTTTGAAAACCGACTCAGTACGAACATACCAAAGGACTGTATTGATTGGTTTTTCAAAGAAATTTGAAATCCTCTGTGAAAAATTTAATTATGTCAATCTGTAGAATAGTTAAGATTGTTTTGCCCTGATGATGATCTTAAAATAGGTCGAAAGTTTGGCAGTAACAACTGAATTTACTTTTTTATAAAGTCCATATCGTGATCTGGAGAGTATTTGCGAAATCAAAGTGTGTCAGTACCCTCTATAATTCAAAAAATAAATCAAATCGAATGAATGTTTTGAATTTTAACTTAAAAATATATGCAATTTTATTTTATCTCTAACGGTTAATAAGAAAACCGGCTATACACACGTTAGCCCTGACACCTTGTACATAAAAATTTTAAAATTCTTATTTTTAAGATTGAAATTCGTTGATAAAATATTGGGTTGGACGGTGAATCGTCTATTTTATTTGTACTACGGCAGAAACAATTTTAGAATAAATTGAATATATGAAAGATTTTATCCTATGAAAAAAAAATTTTGTAGGCCTTTTTTCTTCAAGTAAAAATTACAATATTTCAACGTTTTGGTGATCCTGTGCCATTTTCGAGACACATATTATATTCCTAAAAAAAATTAATTTCCATTATTCTTTGTGATATGTAATATATTTTTATAAATTAATTTATTAATAATATTTACATTAACGTAATATAAACATTTTGAACACAAAATTAAAACAAAAACATTGAAACAACAAAAGTTGAGAAAAAATTGAGTTGCCAACATGGATGGGTGTTTTTTATAATGTTTATACAACGTTAAGCTAAATATTTTTAATAATTTATTATAACAATATGTTAAATATTAAAAAGGATAATTTAAAATTAAAAATTGTTTCAGAAATAAAATACTTTTTGAAAATGGCAAGGATCGCCGATACGTTGAAATATCTCAATTTTTATTTTCAAAAGAAAATTTATTTTCATAGGATAAAATCTTTCATCTATAAAATATTTTTGTGACATTTCAAAAAACAAAAACTACCAGCCATGTTGGCGGTTTTTCCAACTTTTGTTGAAATTTTTATTTTCAAATTTTTATACAACCTTAAGCTAAATATAATTAATAAATTAGTTTATAAAAATATATTAAATATTGTAAAGAATGTAAAATTAAAAATATTGAAGAAATAAAAAATTTTTTAATGGCACAGGACCGCCGAAATCTGGAAATATCGTTTTTTTTAATCTTCATTAAAAAAAACGCCCACAAAAAAAAGAATTTTTCTTAGGATAAAATCTTTCATCTATAAAATAGTTTTGTTCTTTTAAATTGTTTCTATTGTAGGACAAATAAAATAGACGATTTATCGTTCAAAGCCAACATTTTCTTCATTATCTTCTTTTCCTTTTTATAAATAAAAAATTTCTTTTTTGTTGTCTTTTTAATATTGAAGGTGACTTTTTTTTCAAGGTTTTGCCGATCCTGTGCCATTTTCATGAAACAAATATTTTATTTCTGTAAAAAAAATTAATTTTCATTATTCTAGTTATTTTATATATTTTATAAATTAATTTATTAATAATATTTACCTTAATATTGAATAATCATTTTAAAATAAAAGATTATTTCAACAAAAGTTTAAAAAAACGCCAACATGGCTGGTTGTTTTTGTTTTTGAAAATGTTTCTGCACAGGATTGCCGAAACGTTGAAATATTGCAATTTTTATTTTTTAAAAAATCAATAAAAAAGCCCCACAAAATAGAATTTTTCATAGGATAAATTCTTTCATCTATAAAATATATTTGTGCTTTGAAATTGTTTTTATTATAGGACGAATAAGACAGACGATTCATCATCCAAAGCATATTCTATCAACGAATTTCTATCTTAAAATTAAGAAATTTAAAATTTTATATACAGGTTGTCAATGCTAACGGGAATACAGCCGGTTTTCTTATTAACTGTTAGAGATCGATTATAATTTTTTTTAACGTACAATTCAAATCTTTCATTCGATTTTATTTTAGTTTTGAATTATAAAGGATACTGAACACAACTTCGATTTTTTAAATTATCATGTTACAAGAGCTACAACAACTTTTTCTTGACGAAATTTATATTGTAAGACTAAAAGTTGCAACAGCACTAGAGCTTTTTTAGTGGTTTATTGGAGAAAATATTAGAGATTAGTAGATTAGATTTTTTTAAGCGATTCTGTACGACAGGAATTACTTTACTTTGTTTGACAGCGGTGGACGTGTGGTTAGGCTCGTATTTGCCACGCTTGCGGTTCTGGGCCCTGTACGACACGAAATACGTAACTTAATTAATCTTAATTTTTAAGTAACGCCAGGGTAAAGAAAGAAAAAGTTCCATATACGATAAATTAGGTTCCTAGGGAGGAAATCGCTAGAAGGTTGGTGCTCTCGGCGTCTTGTCTTAGAGGGTAGTCTGGAAGGGTTTAAACTAAAAAGGTGTCTGACTACGAACAGGAAGGGGTTGGGATGAGAGTCCAGGGTTTTATGGCGTTTGTAACAAAGTCCTGCTTTTTCGAGGATACATTGGATAGTAAGGTTGGATTCCAACTAAGGAATTTGGACAATAGTTAGAAAGATTTTGTTCTGGAGTGACTGGATTCATTAGGATAGTTCAATTCCGTTTCTTTTGTTGTGATCTGTTGTCAAGCAGTCTTTTGAGCAGTTCATATCGTTCAATTCTACTCTTTTGAATCGAGTGTCATGGTTTCAAATAAGTTTTTTGAGTGCGCTTGGCAAAACTACTAAGGAGGAGTTGTAGTAAATCAGAAGAGACACAGCGATGGTGAAGGCAGTTTACTGAAATTCGGTTTTCTCGAGTCTGATACTCCATTTCTTGAACCATTCTTACAAAGAGGAGAGATAATCCTGGAGGTATCTAAAGGGCTAGATTTGGGTGAAGATGATACTATCGTCTGCATATGTGAAGAGTATCGGGATCGATTGGAATGTCAGTAGAGTATGCTGAACAATGTGACTGAATGTGACTAAGGATGCTGCCTTGCGGTACACCCGATTTGGCATAGTGGATGATTATTTTTAACCTATTTATTTCCCAGTTTGAATTGCATTATTTTTTCCAATAAATATTGGCTTGGATTATTGGTTAAGAGGTTGTGAATTTTCTTATAAGGTTAGATAGGAAGTACGTAGCTAGGATGTAGTGTAGTGGTTCGATGGATATTGGACTGAAGTGGCTGGATTTTTCTGAATAGTTCTATTCAGTACGTCCAATTTTATTGAAGTAATGATGGAAAGATGAGGCTTTTTATATATTTATTTATTAGGGAGAGTTTCGATCTGTTGTCAAGTAGTTTATATCGTCTGTTCAATACTTTTGAGTCGATTGTCAGGTTCCAAGTAAAGTCCCAAAGAAATATGGTGGAGGTCTGGTACGGCGAAGAGTGAAAGTCTGTGTATGATCCTTCATTTCTTTTAAACTGGAGAGACGGACGGTTCCGGAGGTTTCTTAACTTATGAGGAATGTCTGTAGCGTATTCTGTAAAGAGATCAGGACTACCTCGATGATGGCTTGCGGTACCCGCCTTTTTTCATTAAAACTGAGCTTTATTTCATGTATGTTGAACTATTGGTTTAGAAGTTGGCTAAACTTATATTGAAAT